GGACCAAGGTACATCTACCGGTAATCTTAATGAAAACAGACTGGCGCACAGCAGTGACGTCATTAAAAGCGCCGGTTAGATTAGCCGCGGCTAGTCTGTTTACGCCTAGAAATCCCAGACCAGACCCGCTCCAAACGAACAGGGGAATCACGTTAATGATTCCTAACAAAACCTTTCGACATAGAGATGTTTTGGTGCAGATAATGTCTTATTTCGAGGCGGCACCATGGGTGCCCGTCCGCACCCGTTATATGGATATACGCTGACGGCGATTCGCCGATGGATCTAAATACCCCGGGGAATCCAAGTAGCACCAAAGTTGTCAGCGTGAGTAAACAAACGTACTGCATGCTAGAAATTAAGTCCGGGTTGCAATAAACGGGAGTTTCCTTTAAGCACATAAGCGTGAATATACAACTACGTGTCGGACTTGGTATGCTAATTAAGTTGGGCTGCGAAGCGCCTCCCAAATTCACTGTTTATGTTTTTGTTTATTTATTTGGCAGACAAAACTTGGATCGGAGACAACTCGCGTGGGAAATTACAATGTAGCCATGCGGCGTCTTCTTCTGTTTGTCTGGGAGGCGGAGGCTGCTTTACGGCATCTGGCTGTCGTGCGTGTCGGTGTACTTGAAGAAGGCTGTGTATAATAGTCCCTAATATCGATACCACAGGGATGGAATATCTAATTTAGATACCACTTTTAGCATCGATTTATATCTAGGTATCGATTTTTTTGACAACACTAAAACTTATATTTATGTATTTTAGGTCACTGCTGAGCTTAGATTTGAACATGTACTGTTTAACCATGAAATTTAAATGTAATAGGGTAAAACCCAGGGCATTTAACATAATGCTGCACTTTAGAAAATGGGTTGAAATATAACATGTTGGTGGAGCTGGGTTCCCACTATCGGTATGGTCCCCTCCCCTCAGTGGCAGCTCGGCGCATCTCCGATCGCAGCAACGCCTGTCAGCTGCGCAGGCTGCCAGCTTGTGGAGCTCTCGGATGGAAACCTCTTGTGCTCTACCCGGTTTTACCCAGCGGTCAGCCCGGCGTATCTCTGACTCAGAAGCTCTGGTGTTGTGTACAGTTAACTCCGGTCGTAGCTAGGTTGCTACCTCCGTTAGCTTAGCTTGCAGCTACATTGCTTCAGTTCGACGAGTGTCGTCATTTGATCCCAGCCTTCCAGCCCCACCCTCAGCTCCACGTCTTTTCCCTTTTATGGAATTGTCTGGGCTTGATGGAACCTTTTGACACGGTCAAAATGGCGGTGGTGGGAACCTCCCATTTTGGCACAAAAACTTATAATTGGAGCCTATGGACACAAATTGTCCGGTATATATGTCGATGATTCACACACACATTCACATACTGGTGGGGATGAGCTACGATGTAGCCACAGCTGCCCTGGGGAGCACTGACAGAGGCGAGGCTGCCGAGCACTGGCGCCACCGGTCCCTCCGACCACCACCAGAAAGCAAGGCGGGTTAAGTGTCTTGCCCAAGGACACAGCGACAAACTGAGCGAGGCTCGAACCTGCAACCTTTCGATTACGAGGTGACCACTTAACTCATTCACTGCAGGCGTTTCTTACCGTTTTTACTGTTTTTTAAGAGTCACAGAACGTTGCGCGCTAGGATAAAGTTGACGCCAAAACAACCAAAACGGGGGGGGGGGGGGGGGGCTCACCTCTTACATCAGAGGATCTTGAAGTGAAAATTTTCCGAGTTTCCGACCGGGAGATCTGACATGGGGGTGGGGGGGGTTCATTTGATTTTTCCTACTCAGAGGTGGGGATTTCCGAGTTCTGAGGACAAATCGAACGCACTGTGAGTGGCCTTCTGAAATCTATGCCTACCGTCTTCGATTGGCGGGTAGAGTCAGCCAGCGGGGGCTTCCTGCATGCGTGATTCATTATCATTCTGCATGCCGTGGAGTAAACATCCCTATGTCTGCAGCATGAGCGACTGCTGCTCAGTGGGAAGAGGGAGAAGAGAGCTGGGAGGAACGGCTGTGAGCAACACAGCTCACAGTAGCCTTTGTTTTCTTTTAGCTTCAGTCGCAGCAGTGGAGGCCAGAGGGTTGTGAGGACAAGCGCAGCAGGATCGGTAATAGAACTGGGAGCAAATTAATAAAATAATGTGGTTCCCAATAGGGCTGCTCGATTATGGCAAAAATAATAATCACGATTATGGTGACTGAAATTGAGATCACGATTATTTAGGACGATTTTTCTATTTATGTTGATTTTATTTGTTTTTATTCAGTCATAAAACTGCTCAGGGCACAATCAGGACAAAAATAAACAAGACACAGGACAATCACTAAAATAACTCCTGATTCCCAGTATAAAAAGACCAATATACTTTTAGCTCATAGTCTATGACCCAAGGGCTATAGACCTTGGTTTAACTCATGTAAGTCTAACCAGTACAGAACCAAATACCAATATCTTGCAAATACTGACAGCAAGAATTATACAGTGGCATTTATAACAAATAAATGCAAATAAATTGATGTTCACAAAATGTTGCATAACATTTATTTAGTCGTGTCAAGGTGCTGTAGCACCGTGTCCTCAGAGAGATTAGTTATTATTCATCAGCGTGAGGAACTTGTTTCTACCTTATTTATAAACTATTTATTTACAAGTCCATCAGTTAATGTAATAAATGTCCCAACCACAGCTGCACCCCCCACCCCCCAACCCGGTCTCACAGCAATCGGGGCAAGCTGCACGTGTGTTTAGCACGCCGCACATTTAGCCGTTTTTAGTGGCTCAGGAGTCCGCAGGTGCGGTGTGTAGGGTTGTCACGGTATGAAAATATAACCTCACGGTTATTGTGACCAAAATTATCACGGTTTTCGGTATTATCGCGGTATTTTTTAAACGGTGTTGCATATGTTCAGAAAGCATTGATAGTCCTGTTCTACACAAACTGAAATAGTTCTGAAAAGGTTTAACATGTTTATTAAACCTAAAATAACACAAAGCCTTAGCAAAAGTACAACTTTTCACAAGTAAAGGAACAAATAGCTTATTTTTCTGGAACATGTTACAGTAGTCAGTGCAGGTTTAAATGATACAAATCCAAACATTCAAAACATAAACAATATGTAAACAAATCAAAGAAACACCACTTGTTTTCTCATATACTTGTTTTCTTCATTATCAAAATGAAAATCTAAAACTCCAGTCCACACTTGACTTGAGCACTGTACAAGTCAACCTTAAAAAATATGTATTTAAAATAAATAGCCACTTTAAAGAAATTACTAAAATAACTACTACACTGTGTAATCAAATCCAAATATTCAAGTATAAATGGCATTGAATAAGTAAACAAATCAATGACAAGGAACTAATTGTATATTTCTCTTCATCATCAACAAATAAGATGCTTCATCCAGCAACAGGGTGTCCGTGACACGGTTTAAATGCTGGCAGAGGACGCTGCGGCGACTCGTTGCATTCTCCCTCAACCAAAAGTCCTCACGTCATGCATTTTATCTAAAATGCTAATGTTATCTTACCTTGCACTGGCTGTAGAGACGTGGGTGATCGTCACGCAGATGTGCCATTAGATTTGAAGTGTTGCTGCCTTTTGCAGACACTTGTTTCCTGCACGTTCTGCAAACGGGATAGCCGTCTTCTATTAACTGTCCCTCAGCATTTTTCAGAAATCCAAAATATGCCCATACTTCCGATTTTGTCTTCTTTGAGGGCTGATGGATGTCCTGGGCGCTGCCGTCTCCTCCTTCGGCCATTATTTCAGCTTCAAAGTTTTGGTGCCGTTGCAAACTAAAAAGTGCGTGTGCGCGCCGCGGGAACTTCAGCTGAAGCGACGGTGGCTGGTAAGGGTCACCGCGCCGAAACCGCGGCCACGGTAAACCCACCGAGATAATTTAGTTTTTTTAAAAACTGGACGGTTATTTTTATTGTCAACTTTTTTACCGGGGTTTACCGCTATACCGGTTACCGTGACAACCCTAGCGGTGTGTGTCACTCACTCTGGTTAATCCAACAGGGAACCGGCTCTGAGAGCTGTTTCTTTAGCGACTGACACATCACTACATCATTCCCTTTCCTAATGTCCTGAAGAACGGTCCGGAACGCGGGCGGAGTGTTTAGCTAACCTGCAGGAAATGTCGACGACAGTTATCCAGAAAGTAGCTAAGGGCTACCAGAGATGTTTCTGAGGTGTTCGCTAGGTACTTTTAAGATTTAAAAAGTCAAGAAGGGGGTCTGAGAAGCTGCTAGAAATAGCGTCAAAGTCGCCAAGTTGGCAACACCCTAGGAGGAGCGCTTCATTTGCAACTCAGGGCAGCGCAAGTGGGAGGGGCAAATTATCGGCTTGTTTTTTGTTTTTTATAATCGTTCAAAACTCAGATCGTAATCGTGATTAAAATTCGATTAATTGAGCAGCCCTAGTTCCCAATCCCCAAAAGCAACACAGCTCACGCCCGTTTTATTAAAGAGGACACCACAGACTTTTCCGAGCGTCTTTCGCACCGCCCGACAGATGCAGATTTCCTTTTGCTGAACTATAAAAAAAAAGTGTCATTACCTGTTATGCCTCCGTGGCGAAAGTTAAAACAGTAGCAAATGAATCAGACCTCTGGGATACATGCTGCCATCTTCTTTGTTTATTATTGTATGAACTGTTGAAATCACGCGTGATTGTGCTATTCCCATAAATGATGCCTGTATTTATTAACGGGTCTGTGGGTGGAGGCGGGGTGACAGAAGTAGTGTAATATAACCGTTATCTTGTTTGAACATGTTTCTTTTTACCTGATACAGCTTTATACGGTGGGTTTTTAATCTACTTTAATGGAAAATGACTGATGGACGATTCAACAAGGCTGGGTTTGAGGGTCCAAATAGACTGAATTAGCTCTTACTGGTGGGACTGGGATAGACATGGCTGCTCTGTGTGTGGATTTTTTTTATTTTCTGTTGTTTGATGAATCTTTTTTTGTCTTTGTTTAGTGCTCCCTCCGGTGTTGGTCCCGCGGCACAGCGAGTTCAACCCACAGCACAGCTTGCTCGTTCAGTTTCGCAACCTGACTCATAATGAGGCACAAATGCCCCTGAACGCCACCTTCCCAGAGTCCTTCCAGCAACCCCACAGTGGTGGTGGCAGCAGCAGCGGAGGAGGTGGAGGCGGCAGCGGCGGCGGCACGTTTCCCATTTCTCCCAACTCTCCGTATCCTTCTTCTCCAGCCAGCAGCGGTACTTATCCAAACTCTCCTGCCAGCTCGGGGCCCTCCAGTCCATTCCAGCTCCCAGGTACCCAGCAAACACACTCCTGTACCTGACCCTGGGAAACATGCCAGACTATTGTTTTTCTGTTATGTAGTCAGCTGAGGGAAAAGCTGCTCCAAACGGGTCTCAGATGAGTCTTAAATGTTTTAGATTGAAAGAAAACATCATGTTGGCAGTTGATTAGAGGAAATGGAGACAAATCAGGTTTCCCATGTGTGTGCTTACTAGCTACTTTAGTCCAAGAGGCTGTGGCGGCTTCACATCTTACCGAGGGCCCTTCAGATTCATCAGAGACTGGATGCTCTCGTGTCTGTTTTAGTAGTTTAGCAACAAAGTAGCAGCGTGTCCTGTCCTCCTGTCTTATGTTGGACTTTCTGGATTTTGTAGTGTGTGTGTGTGTGTGCGTATGTTGCAAGTGTTTGAGTCCAGGTCTACTGGCACATCCAGTAGCTACAGCTAGTCGAGGCTTTAAATATCAATTTAGAGTAAAAACAAACTGTTGTTGCTGCAGGAATTCATCAGATCTCTCCTACATACATGTGATTTTATTTAAACAGTTCTGCCATTTAACTAAACTTTTGCTGCATTGTTTTTTTCCCTTGTATGCCTCAATAAGGGTCTGAGCAGCTCGTGTTGCATCTCTGTCAGGAATGGGTTAGTGTGTGGTGCAGGAGTGAGGGATATGTGTAACCCGACACTGTTTCCGGGGTACAGATCTTGTGAAGATTGTCTAGGGAGATGTGTGTGTGGTGTGTGAGGGAGGGAGGGAAAGAGAGAGAGAGAGACCATTTGCCAGCAGCAGCAACTGGTCTCACCCTTGCTAACTGGTCTTCCTGTCTCAGCTGACACCCCACCCCCGGCCTACATGCCCCCTGATGAGCAGCTGGGCCAGGAGAGCCAGTCCATGGACACAAGCAGCAGCTTGGTGTCACAAGGCATACCGAGAGGTGAGAAGTGACAGCAGCACTAAAAGAAAAAGAATCATGCGTTTCCAACATTAAACGGACGAAGTTGTCATCAGGAAGTTCAGTGTGGATCATCAGAACAGCAACTGCTGTAGTAATAAACTGCTCTACCTTTGTTCTTGTGAGGGAATCCACTGAAGACGGGCTTCTGGTTTGATAACAATAGTACCACCCATAGTTCTAATGGGCCTATTGTTAGCCCTCCAATAACCCCAATGAACACGATCTTAATGTTGCTGAGGCCGATGGTGTCTAGCTCAAGTCACCAAACTGAAGATACGCAGTAGCTGTTAAATTACTCACAACACGCCATGCCGGCAAATGAGCGTAACACTGCCGCCACGGTGTGTCTTATGAACGCAGCTGGCAATGTGGGAATTTTGTAGCATTTAATCCTGCGTTGCCTGACTTACGAATGCATTTTATGCCTTGGGGCAACAGAGGGTGGTGTCGTGATCGCGTGGGGAGTCACTGCCGAGCTCCGGCAGGAAATGACATCAAAAATGAAAGTAAATACGGGCTCTGCTTTTCGCTTTTGTAAACAGAACCAGTTGAGATGATAAACTGGAATGATGCAGAGCTCTGGGAACTTCTCTCCGTTAGAGCTGGAGGACAGACACCTTTAGGAGCGGCTTCTAAAAAACTTAATGAGCGCAGCCTCGATTGCAATAAAAAGCAAGTTATGTCCAAGTAAAACGGAAATCCACGGCAATGAAAAGACCCCCTTCATACCCCCTTTATACCGTCATCGTGTAATCTTTAGTAAAAAGGGCACCATTACACCACATTATCGCCACGTTCTTATCAATTATAAACAACGTAAGGGTCCCTGATGCCGGCTCGACGTTGCAGCAAATATGCGCTAGGGCTGTCGCGGTAACCGCAAAAATGAAATATCGCAATATGAAGAAGCCCACCGCACTGCATCATGGGCCACCGCGATTACTGAACTTGGTTCAACTCAGTGATGCATGTTGAGAAGGATGGCTGCACTGGTATCAAAACCAAACGTTACTTCGCTCCTTTGGGAGCGCTTTGGTTTTCAGTACGTCAGCTGCTGCGCAGCCAGAGTCCTTGGCCGAGACAGAGCTGCCACCAGCGGCAAAAATAAATAAATAATAAACGCTCGGAGACCTGCTGAAGTCCCGGACAAGCACTGCTTCTGCAGCCGTCCTGAAGAGAGTTTGAGCCGAGCTGGAGCTCACTCGCTACCTGCAGGAGGAATGCATCCACCCTAAAGAACCCCCCCCTGACATGGTGGAGCAACAACCGGGAGAGATTCCCTTTGCTCGCCAGTCGCACGCAAGTACGTGTGCGTAAATGCAACGAGCGCACCATCCGAGAGGGTTTTCAGTGTTGCTGCAAATGTTGCCCCCCTCTCAGATCCTGTCTCAAACCGTATATAGTTAACATGCTGGTTTTCCTTGTGGGTAACAAGGACGTGACCGAGCTATAAATCACCGTCATTCGTGTGTGTGAAAGTGAAATGATAGTGCCCCCCCCCCTTCGGTACATGTAATTTTTTATGCTTGATTTTGAACAACTAAACAAAATGGGGACTTGTTTCTTATTTGTTAGATGCTGCAGCCAAATTTGCATTTAAAAGTTTAGCCTTCTCCTGAATTTTGTTGTTTTTAAGTTCAGTCGGACTCCGACTGTCGGACAAACAAACGTTACTGCGATCTGTGTTGTTACTGCCCTTTGATCTGCATTCAGTAAAGCGTTATAAAAGAAGGCACGGCAATTTTTAACCTTTTTTAAATGTGTAAACATTATGTTTAGATAGTACTGCAATAAAAAAAGGGCTGCAATAATATCGCACACCGCAATATTAAGCCACCCTGAATCACCGCAGGGGGAATTCCTCAACCGCGACAGCCCTAATATGCGGCATTATTTTCTAAAAGAGGCTTGTATTATATCTCAGTTTTGTTTATTTTTATTCACAGTTGGTCACCAACCCTCCCTCAAACCCAGGCCACAGAACGGCTTCGTGTCACACTGTCAGGACTTTAGAGAAGCGGCACTCTGTGCAGTCCTACGTCTCACTCTAGCAGCACACGCAGCAGCTTACTCACCGGTTAAAAACAAAAAAACGTACAGTTGTCACGGCAAAAGGTGTTTCACTTTAGTCCAAACTTAACCGCAGAGGTGTCCAGACACCCACAACAACCGGTTCAGCTCGTTATTGCAATATATTCACTATTCCAGTGTGGCGGCTATGACTCACACCAGAAAAATTACAACCCGCAACAGTTTAAGGACATTTTGGAAACTTCTTAATGTTGGACAGTCAGATATTGACTTTAACTCTGTGATAAATTCAAACTATTTTTTGTTCTGTTCTCATTTTGGACCCGAGTATGGAGGTCAGGGTGTGTCGTGATCTTGTGCTCTACAGTATCAGACTCTGATGTTTCTTGTGCAGGTAGCTGGTGCTTCTCGAAGCGCTAATCAGCATAGCTTTGTTTGGCAAGCTAGCTTTACTTATAAAATCAAGACGTGTGTCTTCATATTACCTTCTTGAATGTGGAGGTTGCTTACTAAAATGAATATCGAGTCTGTTTTCCACCCAGAGGTGTAACCTCAGCCGGTTTACAAACTGCACATTTTAATCCCTGTTTCCAGATGTGCATCCAGTGGAGTACGAGGAGCCAAGCTACTGGTGCTCCATCGTCTACTATGAACTTAACAACCGTGTTGGAGAGGCCTACCATGCCTCGTCAACCAGCGTGCTTGTGGATGGCTTCACTGACCCTTCAAACAACAAAAACCGCTTCTGCCTCGGTCTGCTGTCCAACGTCAACCGCAATTCAACCATCGAGAACACCCGTAGGCACATTGGCAAAGGTAGGATCACACGTTCCCTGATGGAAAACGCTTCTTTTCCCTGTGGTAGACGTTTTCTCACCGTGATGCCTGTGCCACCCAGGGGTGCACCTGTACTACGTGGGAGGAGAGGTTTATGCAGAATGCCTCAGTGACACCAGCATCTTTGTCCAGAGTCGTAATTGTAATTACCACCACGGCTTCCATCCCACCACCGTGTGCAAGATCCCCAGTGGATGCAGTCTGAAGATCTTTAATAACCAGGAGTTTGCTCAGCTTCTGGCCCAGTCCGTGAATCATGGCTTTGAGGCCGTTTATGAGCTCACTAAGATGTGCACCATTAGGATGAGCTTCGTCAAGGTGGGAGTTGGGATGATGATTGTAAACAACATATTTACAGTAACGGCCATGTCGATTTCTCTATTATTTGTGACGTGTTTCCTCTCTCAGGGCTGGGGAGCGGAGTATCACCGACAGGATGTGACCAGCACCCCCTGCTGGATTGAGATCCACCTTCATGGACCTCTCCAATGGCTCGATAAAGTGCTGACACAGATGGGCTCACCTCTCAACCCGATCTCCTCCGTGTCCTAATAAAGGACTTCCGGGAGATTTGATGGCCTTTTTACTTTCCCCCCCCCCCCCCCCCATTTTTAACATTTTTCCCCTGCAAGGATTTATAATTTAATGCTGTCTTAATGTTGGAACTGTTTACACTTTCTTTGGGATGGGACATTAACCTCTGCCAGAATCCAGTCTCCATTTCAGGAGAAAACCTGGACACCCAAGTAGCGTTACAAACATGGACACGCACGTGACTGCTCCACGATGCTTTCTGTCAGAATGAACGAGAGACTTTCTTGTCAAGCCTGACTCTGTCAAATGTAAATTTTTCCATCTAGTTTCATTGTTTTTGACAAATGATTTTATTTCTTTATGTGTAGTTTCTAATGAGGCAGAACTGTTTCACTCCTCAGCCCGGTGTGTGCCAGACAGTTGCAGAATCGTTGGACACTTTTCTTCCAATCAGTTATTTCATTCATTTATGTTTAGGCTCAGATATAACAAGTGCTTTTTATAGTCTCTACTTCTAGAAACAAACACTGAGCTACTGCTTTTAACAAACTTCTGTAAGCCAATATGAAAGTTTTTTGATATGGGAGATCACTGAGCAAGTTTAACACGCTAAAAGCTAACAACGCTATGATTGTTACACCTGTTGCCATAGAAATAGTCATCTTGTAATCAGAAAACACCAACCATCCTTAGAGATTCTTGTTTGTGCTTTTGAGTTCAAATAAGCCTGGCTGTATTTTCAAGACTCACTGGTTTAACAAGAATGTGCACTTGTTTTTTTTTTTTTTTTTTTTTTTGGTTTTTTTGTTTGTTTTGTTTTGTGGAAGCAGAACATTTTCGATTGGGTACCAAGTCATTTTGTTAATTAGCTCAATGAAATAAACAGGTTATTTGTTAACAGTTGATTTGTCCCGTTGCTTGGTTGTTGATTTGTTTTTGTGTTTCTGAGTTTACTAAATACTTTTATTACGTGAGAACAACTGCTGTTTTGTTCTACCATGGAGCAAGACCTCCATACAGCTTTGAGGAGATTCTGGTCCACCATCCGGTGCTTCAGGAGTGGAAAGCAGTGCACCACCAACACCGTTTATAGTGGGGGCGGTGGGAAGAGGACTTGGAAGACCTCCTCAATCCCACGGCACATCTTCCAGTGAGGAAGCAGAGTCGGGGTACTTTAGGTTGGGCTCTCCCATCTTTGGTGCTGAGGTCACTGAGGTGGTCAAAGCTCCTTGTGGCAAGGCTCTGTGGGGTTGAGATCCGCCCAGAGTTCCTTAAGGGTCAGTATGTTGTAGGGTTGTGTTGGCTGATGTGGTGCTAATATGTTCCACTGGATTGGCAGGTTGGGGTGGTGGTGACCCTATTTAACAAAGGGGGAACCACAGGATGTGTTCCAATTACAAGGGAACCACACTCCTGAGCCTCTCTGGTAAGGTCTATTCAGGGGTTCTGGAGAGAAGGGTCCGACAGATTGTCGAACCTCGGATTCAGGAGGAACAATGCGGTTTTCATTCTAGCCGGGGAACACTAGACCAGCTACCCTTAGGGGGGTCCTGGAAGGTGTGTGGAGTTTGCTCGACCAATCTACATGTGTTTTGTGGATTTAGACAAGGTTTTTGACTGTGTCCTTTTGAGGGGTCCACTGGGCGTATGGGGTACCAGGCCCTCAGATACGGGCTGTCAGGTCCAATATGACCGGTGTCAGAGCTTCGTCCGCATTGCTGGTAGTAAGTTTGGCTCCTTTCCGGTGAGAGTTGAACTCCGCCAAGGCTGCCCTTTGTCACCAATTCTGTTCATAACTTTTATGGACAGGATTTCTAGGTGCAGCCAAGATGTCGAGGGGATCCGTTTTGGTGGCCTGAGGATCGGGTCTCGGCTTTTTGCAGATATGGTCCTGGCTTCATCAGAACATGATCTTTGGCTCTCACTTGAGTGGTTAGCAGTGGAGTGTGAAGCAATTGGGATGAGAATCAACTCCTCTGAATCCGAAACCATGGTCTTGAGTCGGAAAAGGGTAGAATGCCTTCTCCGGGTCAGAGATGAGGTCCTGCCCCAAGTGAAGGAGTTCATGTATCTCGGGGTCTTGTTCATGAGTGACTGAATGCTGGAGCATGAGATCGACAGGTGGATTGGTGCTGCATCTGCAGTGATGCGGGCGTTGTACCAATCTTTCGTGGTGAAGAGTGAGCTGAGCCGGAAGGCATAACTCTTGATTTACCGGTCGATCTATGTTCCAACCCTCTCGAATGGTCACGCACTTTAGGTAGTGACCGAAAGAATGAGATCGCGTATACAAGCAGCCCAAATTAGTTATCTCCACACGGTGGCTGGGCTCTCCTCTAAAGATAGGGTGAGAAGCTCGGTCATCCCACCGGAATGGGCTCGGAGTAGACCCGCTGGTCCTCCACACTGAGAGGAGCCAGTTGAGGTGACTTGGACATCTAGTTAGAATGCCTCCTTGACTTTAAAATTGGAAGTGGGCACCGGCACTCGGGATGAGGTTGAGAAATCCCCCTACCAAATGCCGTTGAGTGTGCTCACTCTCAAGGCCCTAAGTGCCTCCTGGACGCCTCCTTGGTGAGGTTTTCTGGGCACGTCCAACCGGGATAAGACCCAGGACACGCAGGAGGGACTATGTCTCTCGGGCATGGGAAATGCCATGGAATTCCCCTAGAGGAGCTAGCCCAAGTGGCAGGGGAGATGGAAGTCTGGGCCTCCTTGCTAAGGCTACTGCCCTCACGACCCAATCCCTAATAAGCAGCCGAAAATGGATGGATGGACAAAGTAGTCCACCCCGGTTCTGTAACCCAATTGTTTTCAGGCGTGTCCTTGATGGTAGTAACAATTCTCTTATCCTGAGGAGCTTAGTCCCATTTTTCTTTTGAGTTTCAGAACATTGGAGGGTTTTCTGTCAATTTAAAGTGACATTGTGTAGTTTCTGTTGCTAGTGGCGGTACATATATTTCAGGGTAGTTTAACACCATATCATTTTGACTGTCGCTAGTTTAAAAAAAAACACTACGGTAAATGTTGTTACCTGTGATGCAGAAAGCATGCAACCTTGGTGTGAGTTCTCAGACTTTGATGGCCCTTCAGTTCATTCTATTGACAGATTACAATCCTGATTGTAGTTTTCTGTCACTGTAGTTTTTGGATCTGCTTGGGGTCCTGCGCTAGCCACAATACGGGAGTACCCTCGGCCAAAATATTGCACCTTTTTCTATTCTGTTCTTTCACATATGTTTTGGACTGAGTAGCAGTTTTGTCATTGAATTTGTGCTTCTTACTACCTAAATGTTTTTGATTGTGGTATTGTAACTTACGTAAGTCGTACATCCAGCCAATCGTCTAGTGTGATGGACCCCAAGCCGCCCAGAAGGAAACATGGCATCCCCCGTAGATGCTAGACCCACACATTATGAACTTTAAACCCAATTTTTATGGTTATATGTTACAAAGTTGCAATCATTTTTCAACAACTTTACATCATTTTGTTCTTTTTCAACAACATTTTCATGGATATTTCCAGATCAGATGGGTCCAACTACAGATCGTCTCTTTAAGGTCAAAGGTCAGATGTTCTCCTTCAGGGTGTTCTGCCATAGAGCAGAATTCATGATTCCATCAGTTACAGCAAGTAGTCCCAGACCATCATACTACCACCACCATGTCTGACTGTTAGTTTGACTCAAGATGAAATGGGGCATCTCATTAGTACACATATTTTTTTCCATTTTCTAAAAAATCATCGAGATGCTCTTTGGCTCGGCTACTCCAGTGCTCTGTAGCACCTGGCTAAATCTCCCATAGAGGCCATTTTTACCCCCGTCTGTTTTTTTTTATTGACCTTAAACTTAACCAAGCAAATCCTGCAGTTCATTGGATGTTTAGATCTTATTCTGGGCTTCTGTTGTTTTTGAATTTCTTTAATGAGGCGTGATGTGTTCCTTTTTATTTGCTCATTATGAAACCCTGTAGGTTAAAATAACGAAGAGCAAAGTGCCCTCAGAAATTTGTAATGAAGCAACACAAAGCATGCTTAAAAAACTAAAAGCCTTTAAGGGGATTTCTGCCGCATACTTGGTTTGACTCAGTGATTGGTTACAATAAATCACTCTGAAAACTTCCTATTGGTCCACGTTTATATTTACCGTAAAAATCATAAAATGTCCGACATCCTAAAATTAAAAAGTAAAAAAAGATCCGAAAACAGAGAACTACCATAATGGATTTAATTAAATGCAAGATAATAATTCATAACCGTTTTCTAATTTGTGTCGTTTTTATTATGACTGTTATACGTGAACCAAAGCGAGCGAGTCAGCGGTGTGAAAATTTTTATTGCGCCAAATTACCGTACAAACCGGATGTGAGGTGGCCCTGTAGGAGCAAGCCAAAGATAAACACGTAGACAGACAGAATACGGGCGAAGATAATTAGAAATATTAAGAGGTTACGGTGAAACAATTGAAATGGAATAGCTGATGGGATTTGATCAGGCAAGGAGACGTTGTTAAATCGGCAAAAGAGCAAGACTTCTGCAGACACCGAGTTGGTGAGTCCTGGCAGCCGGATCGGTGGCTAGCTAAAAGCTAACAGCAGCTAACTGACAAATATCTGTCTGACAGGCTCTCCAAAGAGTTATTAGCATTAGGGAGACAAACGGGTGCATGTTGCAATGTTTTAGTGGCACGAAACTATCCTAAAGTATTTTGTTTCACTTTAGGAAGCCGTCGCAAGTATTGTCAGTGTTTCTGGGATTTCGTTTAACATCTTGGCTTCCAAATGAATTAGCTCAAGGGAAAACAGTGCATGTTTCCATGGAAATGCCGAAAAAAGATTTATCTGCTTGGTTCGGGTTTAAAGAATGTGTGTAAAAGAAAATTCAAACTAGATGTATTCAATCATCGCCGCAGCTGATGAAGACAAATATGATTTATTTTGTTTCTTTGATTGAAAGGTGGCTAGTAATGTGTTAGTGTCTGGTTCATGATCCCACCACTTACCTGCCTCTTATGTTAAAGTGCAACAGTGATGCCTTCAACAGGGCCAATCGTTTGAATTTGAATCCTTAACTCAAGTGAGTTTTTAGTCCACTCAGATGAGACTTTATTTGTTACACTTTTCTGGTACCAGGTTGGACCTTCTTCTAGCCTCAGCTTCCACCACATCTCAAATGTTCTAGACTCAGATCCGGTGACTGTGGAGTCCAGCACGGTCATGTTCTAGAAACCAGTTAGAGATTATCTGAGCTTTGTGACATGATGCATGGTCGTGCTGGAAGTAGCCATCAGCAGATGGGTCCATGTGGTCATAAAGGGATGGACATGGTCAGATAGGCTGTGGTGTTTAAACCA